ACAGCCCTCCTCCCCAGACCCCTCCTCCCCAGAGTCCTCCTCCCTACAGCCCTCCTCCCCAGAGTCCTCTTCCCCAGAGTCCTCCTCTCTACAGCCCTTCTCCCCAGACCCCTCCTCCCCAGAGTCCTCCTTCCCAGAGTCCTCCTTCCCAGAGTCCTCCTCCCCAGAGCCCTCCTCCCCAGTCCTCCTCCCCAGAGCCCTCCTTCCCAGAGCCCTCCTCCCTACAGTCGTCCTGCCCAGAGCCCTATTTGCTGCTGCCTGCCCAGCTCCTTGGACTTGGGCTCCAGAGGAGGAGTCAGGGGTCCCAGGTGACCCCTGCTGGCTGCCTGCAGCAGCCTTTGTGCACACGAGGGCCTCTGTTCACTGGCTGAGGATGGGTGGCTGTTTGTTGGGGGCTGTCCAGCCTCTCTCCTGGGCCCACTTAGGACTCAACGTGGGTGTCCTCTCCTGCCAAGTGTCCTCAGGTGCAAGGCCAGCTGCCTCGGGTCCCAAAGTTTCTCCTTTGGTAGGATCTGTCTGCGAGTGAGTTCCCGAGGCTGGTCCTCTCTGTGAGCAGCTCCAGGGCACACGGGCGGGCTCAGCCACTCGCTGCTGCCGGCTCGTGTGCAGCCCCCGGCTGTGCCAGGCCTCCCCACTCTGGGCCCTGCCAGTTCCAGGCTAAGGGAGAACTGGGCCGGGTGAAGCCTGGTGCCCACAGCTTTGGTTCACTCTGGCCTTTCCTGCATAGAGTGTCCCTTCCACCAGGAGCCCTGAAGGCACCCAGGGGAAACTGAGGTGCGGGAAGGGAGGGATGGAGAGGGACATGCCACCTGCTCGGCTGTGCACGTCCGTGGCCGGGCGGCATGAACTCACCTGTGCGTGCTCCTGCTGGCCCTGTGCCTCCTGCTGTGCCCGCTCCAGCGCCCTCCTGGCCCTGGTGAGCTCCTTGCTCAGAAGGCTCAGCTCTGCGTCTCTCAGGGACAGGGCCTGGACAGGACAGGATGTGCTTGTGAGCAAGTTGGGGAGGCTTGGGGAAGGATCGGCCCCGCTATATGGAGAGGCTGAGTGCAGGGCTGCCCGGGACACTGCAGGCTCGTCTCCACATCCCTGCCCTGGGGAGGAGGGGCGGCGCTACAGAGGCAGCCTGGGTCCTGGGCCCTTTCGCGGTCTAGCGCCCACCCTAGGTCTGACATCGTCCTGCCTCTGTGTCTGTGCTTGGCCACATCCCTGGGGTGGCCTCCCCTCCCCGGCCTGTCCAGCATCCTGCCCTTTTCCATGCAGTTTGGGGGCCTTCGTGAGCCACGCCCACCCCTCTCTGCTCAGCTGGCTGAGCAGAGGCCACCCCCACACTTGCCACAGTGCAGAGAAGGAGGTGAAACGCCTGAGAATGCTCCATCTCCCTGATGGCGTGGGAGACGCGTGCGAGCAAGACACCCTCAGCTTCAAGGGTGGCACCTTGCCCCGTGGACAGGCTGTGGAAGCAGTGCCTGTCAGATGCACACACGGATCTCCTCTCCTTGCCTAGGCCCGTTTTGGGGAGGGCAGCCCAGAGATACGCACGTATCTGTGGGGGGTGACCTATGCCCAGCGCCACCAGTGTCTGTGACGTTGCTGTAATGGCAGCAAGGCTGCAGGGAACCCAGATGCCCGCGGAAGGGGACCAGCCAGCCACCGGAAGACCCAGGCCCGGAAGCTCAGCACACAGCGCGGACAGCGAAGCACAGAGCTGCTGACGGGCAGCTGGGAAAGGCCGCCGAGAAGGATGGCGAGGGTGGAGAGGAGAAAGGCCCAGGAGCCGGCTTGGACTTTTCAGGCTCTTTGTGTTAAAAGTGCAGCGTTGGGGGGTGACACTGTGTTTCTGTTTGCAAGCAATCTTTGGAGAATGTCGTCAAGTCTTTGTCCTGGGTCCTTGGAGGAATCTTCTAAACCCTGGGGTTTCCCAAAGGTGAGGTGCATCTCTCTGTTATTCCCGGCAGCCAGGGACCACAGCTGAGCCACGCTCATGAGGTGACTCAGGGGAGCTCCTGCTGAGTTTCAGGATGGGGCTGCTGGAAGACCCTTATGAGAGGGTTAGGGCTTTGAGCCACGGGATGTCAGCCTCACCGTCAGGGAAGGGGCTTCAGTGACATCACCACCACTCAACCAGTCATGTTGCAGGGGAAAGCCCAGTAAACGCTCAGGAGGCGACGCGGCGGTGGGGCCTCCGGGTTGCTGAGCACGCTGGCGGGTGCCGGGCTGGCTCCACAGGGAGGTGCAGCCGCCCGTGTCCCCTCTTCTGGCTGGTCCTGACTTCCCTACCTGATAATGAAACTCAAGAGTGACAAGAGGCTTTCCTGAGTCCTGTGAGTCATTCCAGTGAATGACTGAACCTGAGAGGATCACGGGAACCCCCAACCTCGTAGTCAGTTGGTCAGAAGTGTGGGTGGCCTGGAGATCCCTGGACTTGTGGATGGTGTCTGTGAGAGGGCCTCCTCCTGGGGACCACGCCCTGTGGGGTCTGCACTCTCTCTGGGTCAGAATTGCGTGGGGTATTACAGAGGAATCAGAGAGGAACAGCAGCTGTTCCCTGAGCGGCCTGGTGGGGGGGGAGGGGCTGGGGACCCTTCATCAC